AAGCGGGAGCCGGACTTGTACCGCACGGCGATCGAGACGCGCATGCGCATGTCACCCGTCGGCCGCAATATCCTACACATGGGGCCTAGGGTAGCGCTATCCATCATCTCCGCGACGGAAGCACTCGAACACCTTGTCGCTTCGCAGCGCGACGGGGAAGCCCTGCGCGGTGGCGATTTGGCGCTCACCGCCTCGTGGGTCGACGTCAGCCAGGAAGACTGGGAGATGGTCGACCACAGTCTCTAATCGACACCTTACATCGCTTCCCTTCGCACATCGCGCCTCCGCAGTTTTCGTACAGGTCGGAGGCGCAGCACCATCGTGGCGCCGGCCTCCGGACACGCGGGAGGTTACTCAGCAGCATCACTGTAATACGCGGCGGGGAGCAGCTTCCGCGCTTCCACGTTCGCATGACTTATTCCATTCGGCCCTTCGCACGCGACTTCTAATCATCAGGGGACGGGTTTTCGTTTCGTTTGGCAGAGGATATACCTTGGACTTGTAACAACATACTCATACCGGTTGTATGACCACACCCATTGCCGCCTTGTAGTCATTTGTACAATCTTGTAACTTCCCCATCATGCGCCACCACATCCCATAGCATCTAATTCAGTCATTTCTGTGATACACGACAGACGAAATGTGAGCATTCTTCTCTTCAACATTCTCGACGAGCTTCTTAGATTGCGGTCACTAGTCGCCACCCATCTAGAGACGCGTGCGACGCGTCAGGAACGGGCGCCACGACGCGTACCCGCGACACGCGGCTGAAGACGGTGGTGGCTGTGACGGCCTACAGCAGCCTACGGGTGCTTCCTACCACCTACTACGGGCTACTTTCCTTCTGCTACACCTGCATCAGTGGGCTCCCAAGCTGGCTTCTGATTCAAGCAGCCCGAATCCTTCTTTGAAGATTTGCTTAAATTGCTCAGAACGCAATTTCTCAGTTGTTCCAACTTCGCCAAGGCCTTCTCAGCTTACTACTGCCAGTAGCCGTCGCAGAGGAAGCGTACAGGCTTTTCTCGCAACAAGACGGTTCTATGTGCGCAATGTCCTATCTGGTAAGTCTGCCCATTCCGGTCACCCCTTTGTTGCCTCGATATTACTGTAGGGTATGATCACCGGCTGGCTCGACGCGCATCGCTCTTCTCTTGCCAGAAAGGTTGCCGCATGTTCGTACATTGCGCAGATCGTAGTTGCTACAATGGTGCAAAACCTCCGGTTAGCTTTTCCTTGGAGGTCACCGCTCCGTGGAGAGCTGCTCCCTGACGTGGATAGACATTAAATTGCAACGATTCAAATCACCCTCGCATCCCCGCCGCGCATCCTTGTCGCCAAGGGCACTCTGGATGACAACCACAGCTGTCTAGTTGCCGATTCAACCGGTCGCAACGGCAACCTCACCAAAATTGCATGTGGGTGCTAACAACCTTCTTTTTACTCGTCATACATTTAGCACGACTTCGGACGTGTGTTTCGTGGTAGGTCATGGCGCTATCCAATATGAAGGTGATCCTCTCAGACAGCTTGGCGACTGATGCTGACTTTAGCGGCTTGCACCGTTTCCCCATAGAAGATATAAAGAGACCTTGACATTTGTAGCCGCCCCCGTGCATGCGGCGACCTCGCTCTTTCCTCGCTCTCAGCCTCGTTCATCCTGGGACGTTCAGGCTGATCGCTGTGTAGGCCAAGCTGTCCTTGGCCGACCGAAGAGGCGTAGTCTGTGCTCGCCGCTGGCTATAGCCGCTTATCGGCGGGTGCGTTGCTGCACCGTGACGGCAGCACGCGGGAAAAATCAAATTCCTCACCCTGGTGCCCGATAACCGTCAGTTGACCGGTTCTGCTCGGGTGCGCAGTCCACGCTTGCCCGTGTCCAAGTGGCTCTACGGCAGGGCTAGTTTGGGCGATCCCGAGCAGCCATTTAATTGACAGCATTACGCTTTCGGTACGTCAACCAACGTCCTCGACCAGTACCGCCTGCTTCTCGAGTACGTCTGCACGCTTGCATCTCTTGGCCTCGACCAGTACGTACTGTCTCCGAGCAAGGCCATACAGACGCGTCTGGGCGTGAGCGTTCTTCTACCCTTCTACCTGTTCATCTATCAGCCTAACGTACTCTCTTCACAGACTAATCGCCGGCTGCCCCCACATTCACGGCCCGAGGTGTGTGGATGGCACCTGCACTTCTTGCTGGAACCTCAACAACTGCTGCGCTGGGATGCGGCTTGCATAATCGCCTGGTGTGAAAGCCCGCTGTCAAGCTGAGTATTCGCGGAAACGTGAGCTACACTGGATGCTTTTGGGCATCGCCTCATGCAACGGACGGAGGGAACGTCGCTGGTAGCACTATCCGACTTCGGGCCCAATCCTCACAAACGCGGACCCAATATGACCATATCGCACGTCTAACAATCACCCTCGCCTTCGCCTTCTCTTCTAGAAATACCAGGCTTGGCGAGAAGCGATCGCCGAAGCCTGCGGTGCCTCATGGTCAACAGCGAAACGCCCCCTGAACATTTCGCCTGTGTTCATGACCGTCGGCTGGCCTCAATGCCGCCTCATTACATCAGGACGAGCTGCCAGACGTCACGGTGTAATGTCAGGTCAATGCGGAAATGTGGCTGGTGGCATCGGTTCATCTTGCTTCCTGTTCTCCCCAGGTCACCCCCCGGCATGCCTTGCAGATCTAAGAAGCCTTGACCGGGATGCATGTATGAAACTTTAAACTTCAGTGGTAACACAGGAGACGCGGCGGAAGAGTGCGCGAATGATGTCGCAGCATGATCTCGAACTTTGTGACACCGCTACCGTACAATACGATCTTTGTCATCGGTGATATACATGATCTGCAGGAAACTCTGGTATACAGACCGGTCCCATGCCACCAGGACCGATCGGACGGCATCGTTGCGGAGACGCAGGAACTCTACTATGCAAGACTCGGTTATACAAGAACTCCCAACTGAGACGAACCCTCCTCTGTCTTTCCAGCGAGCGTGAGGCGTTTTGAGACCGGTGTGCGCGACTACGCAGCATTGAGAGCTTTCTCGAGCGGCGCCGCCATGTCTTCCGGATTTCCGATCCAGCGGACGACCCCGTCCTTTGGTGTGATGATAAACGCTGATGGATCGGAAGGGCGTGAGATCAGTCTCGAGGATTCCTTCCGAACCTGGGAGAGTTTCATTAAGCTTAGGAACAACGAAGACGTACCTAAGGGGATAGAGAGATTTTGTCCTGGCTGAAAGATCGCTGTGGCATCGAAGACGCTTAGTCAGCTCGTTCTCTCGCACTCGGGACCACTAGCGGCTTGGAAGCTGCCAGTGCCAGGAACAAGGGGGCGCAGCGCACGCACAATTGACCGCAACCCGCTGCGTATCGATGTATACCGGGTAGTCCATGTCGTCACGTTTAGAGACGAAGCGCTTGACGGCAGCGACGTCGATGGCGGCGTTCGTGAATATTCCCTCCGAGTTGAACGTGATGATTTTGATATCTGGGCGCGTGCGTGCAAGGGCCGAGAGGTCGCGGAACACCGCGAGGCATGGCTGGGAAAGTCGCGGCACGGGCTCGCTCGTCAGTCGAAGGCAATTAAGCCGTGTATGTCCCATATTGCACTCACCCTACACCATCTGTGCCCCGGAAGTGGGAGAAGAAGACCTCGGCGTCAGTACACGCTCTGACGTACGCGCGCGAACAAAAAAACTTGCAGCAGGAGAACTGCACCGCAGAGCTCGAGAACCGCTGGTCGAGATCCCGCAGATGACCGATCGGCGGCACGGATGTAGTCGTCGATAGCCATCGGAGAGACTCTGAGATGCAGTCCTTTTCTGCTGCCGCGCAGACCCACAGAATATATGAGGTGCGGGATCCGGTACTCACGTTGCCCAAAACTCGATAATGAGCAGCCTGGCGTCTCTCCAGCCGTCGATGGAGCCCTTGACGTGTTCAAACGGGCCTCTATCGATCCACTGGAGGTCCACTCGCTTGCCCAGGAGAGGGCTTCTCCAGCCTGGCCGGAGGAAAGGCGGTGGACCCTTGCGGAACTGCGCCTCTAGGGCATCCCATGCGGGCAGCTTCGCGCGCGCCCAGAAGCGCTGTACAACGGCAGGGTCATGAGCCGCTTTGAATCGCGCTGTAGACGAGCAGGTGGTACTGTAAGTCCGCAGCTCCGACCCAAAAGATCCGCTTGGACGCTTACCAACCGCGGCATTCCACCGCCCTGCAGAGGTATATAGAGGTGAGTCCGCATGACCCGCCGCAAGCCGAGCGTATTTCTTACCTTGGTCCCACTTGTCTTCATAGAGCTCTTGGAAGACAGCCCATATGTTTGTTTGAAAGTCGGCTTTGACTGCGAGTTCCGCCTGTGTCTCAGGACCGAGGGAGGCCATCTCAGAATTTTCTGGTGAGTTATGTAGACAAGCAAGAGAGTCGAGGTGGGCAGCAGATAGTAGGCAAGCCACAGAGTCGTCGCTTTCGACAATCACTATCCTGAACGACAGTCAGCACAAGACAGTACGTATATATACCGTGACGGGCACCTCACCGGATGCTGTAACGCTGTCAGAGCAAGAACCTGTCAGATTGCAGACGGTACCGCCAAAGTATATACTTGGGAGGCAGCGTTCATCTGGGCGGTGGGGTCCTGGTGTCCGGTACGCGTCCGGGATCGCTGCAGCCACATACGTGTTTGCTGGTGCCCATTTATAAGTCGCGTACGCAGGAACAAGCATGTCACCTAAACAGATCGCTGGGTCTGAGCCATCGAAGGCGCAGGAGCGTGGAATTGTGATTGAGACCGTATCGAGCAAAACTAAGAAGAGACGGAATTCTGTTTGCTCGATCCGTGTAGGCGCAGAAGTGACCACACAGGGTCCAGGCTGTTAATCAATCAATCTCGTTAGAACTCCCCGCGCTTCCCCTTGCCGCGTGTTAACCTTGTTCCTCTCCCCTGTCCCCGGAGTACCCATCCAAGCCAGTCAAAAAGGTTACCGAAGTCTTGGACGTTGAGGGGTTTGAACCCTCGACCTCATGCAAGCTGACAATGCAAAGCATGCGCGCTACCACTGTGCCAAACGCCCGTTATGTTCGGTTCTTGACAGATCATTCACAAAACCTCGGGGCGCAAGGGTGAGGCCACAACGTAAGTACAGTGAGTATGTACAGAGAACGTCAACTGGGACATAGTGCTGCCTCGTATGTCCTGTGAGCCTCATGCCATAGGAACAGCTTTCCAATTCGCACGCGCGTTCGCCAAGAAATGGAGCGAACACCGTTTCGGTCTCACAGACGGTAATCTATTCTATGGGGCAAATATAGCAAGTGATAGGTCATGATCAGCATTAGTCTCTCTCAACTCTTCGAAGCTGCGCAGTCATACTTGCCTTTACTCCTCGAGCCAGTTAATTGCCAACATATATAGCCGATGCTATGCTTTGGACCAAGGCCAGAAGACAGGCACGTTCCTGTAGACGATCAATCAGTATGAAAGGCTCAAGAATCCGAAGCGTGATTCCATCCACCGTCAATCACGACGTAATGACTGCCCAGAACAACCGCATGGAACGTGTATGCAGCTGGGATCGTGTCAAGCACAGTTCAATGGGGGCCTCTCTGCATTATTAAGCGTAGGACGTCCTGCCTGGTGGTCTGATGTACCCGCAGTTCTACATAGAAGCCGCGGGACAGACTAGTCCGTAACGGCACCAGGACTCTTTGCTCTTCGCGGGTTCGCTCATCAGATAAATGCAACCTGTCCGGTAGGTCGGGAGAAAGGAGGGATTCCCGGAGCGCATGGCGTACTGTAGATAGCCACCCGACCCGAGGAAGTGGGAGGAGGGCTTCGCAGATTGACACGGAAGCGTAGACTCACCGCTTGTACTCTTGCCACTTCGGATCATTTCCAAACTTCTTGTCCCCTGCAGCCTATGCGCAATGATCACTGAGATGAGTGGCATTTAGGACCAGGGCATGGAAGACCAAATACCTCCAACGGCGGCACGCCTGAGACGCGAGAGAGAAGAAACCAGGTTAACAGGGGGCTTGCGCCGGCGAGCAACCACGACCCTCTAGGAAAGAACGAGGTGCGCAACGCTCCTCCAGAAAGCAGCCATATCCCTGTCCATAGCCCAACTTCTCCAACGTAGCTGGAGGGCGCCGATCGATCGCATCAGTCCATTCACAATATGACCTAGTAATTGAAGGCGAAAGGACGTACTTGGGGTGTCTGCTGACCCCCCACAGGCCAGTGGTAATGAATTTCTCATCGTGCTCTTTCTTCTCTTTGGCGTGACGCCAGGACGCCTTCTGATGATCAGCGACTATATTGCGGGACTAGGTAAGCCTTTTGACAAACGTATATGAGCGCCGACGTACCAATCTCGAAAAGCCAAGAGCCTGCCCATAAAGCGATGCCGACGTAATCGAGAGGTCCCAACTTAGGATGATTGGCAGGAGGCAGAATGTTGACCTTTTCTCGGCGGCATTTTGTTAGCATTGAGTGATGCCAGATCATCTCAGACACACCATATACACCGGAAGCCCGACCACTAACACCCATGTTGCTTTTCCGCGGGCATGTTAGGATAATGCAGGCAAAAGGAAGTATTTTGACACACCCTGTGCCATCCAGAAGGCAGTAAAAGTCGCGGGCTTGTGCTTGACTTCATCAAACCTGGAGTCCCCTCCTGCACGCATAGCCCTCTGCGCGCACAGAACGACGTGGTAAGCCTCGTGAAGCGAACCGTTAAGTTGGATTTCGCTCACTGTGAAGAGGAAGCTGCCAAGCCGGGCTGTCCAGGCGAAGATCGCAGCATTGAGCAGAATTTGCCGCGGGGCAAATGATGAGATCGGAGGTAATATAGCGTTCGGTACACGGTCCCAATACTTCGCCTTCAAATGAGGATAATACAGAGATACAAGGGTAGTCGAGACAAAGCCGATAGAGCCTCCCAAGTCGTAGAACTTCTCGTTCGCCTGAGGCACAAACATGAGGGCCAAAGCTTGAGGGGAGTATATCAGTCCAAGAGCGACTACTACGCCTTGATAGAGGGAGGCTTACCGGCCTGAAGACCGAATGCAGATGCGACAGAAGGGAGGAGCTTGGAGAACATAGCCATTATGTACTGTCGGTTTCTTTCCGCTGCAAGGGGCTAGCTTGACGAGACTGACAAAAATCGGAGACTGTATATATGCGCTGGATGCGCTGGCAAGGATGCGATGATGGTGGTCTGCGTTCAAGCAGCCCGACTGACGAATCGAGCGAAGACCACGGTCCACCTTGACAATGACAGGTTGACGCGTTACCAAACTCGCGACACGGTCACGTGCGCGTGGAGGATGTACGGCGAAGTGACGTCAGGGTGGCTGCTACAGTGTAACAAGTAAGTAGCGGCACGGTCGACCCAAACCTAGACCCACAATTGATGCTGCCCCGCGTCCTCGCCCGCACAACTGCAGTCACATCGTACAAGGTGAACCGGTACCCTTCGATACATCCTACGATTCACCTCGAATTTGTTCGCAACATGTCGTCAGCGAAGAACGAATGCGTACATCCGAACGTACACCCCGAGGCGCCCATGCACCAATCAGAGGGCTCCCATTCCAAGGTTCCTCACCCACCTCCCGAGGATCATCATGCAAAGGAACCTACGAAGCCCTTCCCAAACACAGGCTGGCGTGGACCTATTCCCAGTCAGCAAGGCGGGAGCGGCGAAGAAGATTTCATGCACAAACCACCATACGAATGGAAGAGCGAAGGCGGCCTCTTCCAGCCAAAGTATTATTCGTAAGGAGAATCCAGGTTTGCACATTCCAAAGTCGTCACTAAGTTGAGGGTTAGGCAATGTTGGTGCGGTAATGTCGCCTTCGAATTCCACGGTGACCCGATCGATGCAAAGCACTGTCACTGTCGACAATGCCAGCATCTCCACGGCGCACCTTTCCAGTGGGCTGTGATCTTTCCGAAGGTATAATGGTCACCACCCAATCCGTCCCGTCTTGTCCTCTAACACCTGCAATGCAGACATCAGTTAGGATGGTGAAAAATGAGAAGAACAGCCTGCACTTCTTCTCGACGCAAAGACGGGAAGGCGTCCATGACGTACCATGCAAGGTGGGTCGTCGTTATCGAGTATGTCTGCAGGATTGTAGTTTAAGCATCGAATCCAATCTGCAGGTATCATGCGATCAATGTCGCTCACCCATCTTCGACGAAGGCCGTAACACAGTTCTCGCATATCCGTCCGCGTTCAAGTTCCCAGACCGCAAAGTTCCGCTCGACTTCCAGCCCACCGCCCACATCTTCTACAGCGAGCGCGTCATGGAAGTGCCTGACGGCGTGCCGAAGTGGTCCGGGCATAAGGGCCATAGCGAACTTCTCCCGGAACTAACGACGCAGGAAGGGTGAGTCGCCCGTACTGCGTGTGATAGTGAAGGGGACATACTCACCGTGGCACTCTAGGACGATGCCGAAATACAAAGGTACGCCTGATCAGGGCCAAGTCGATTCGCCACACTCGGGTCCGACTACTGCGAAGGATGGCGAGACAAGGGATAGGAAGTGAGGTGGACAAAATCATGAACTGCCCCATTGGGATACACGGCCGGACAAACACATCGCATGCTATTTGCTAGGAATGTTCGCCTGTGGGATGTGGTATCATGAATGCTTGTGGCATTACTTGTGTAGAATTTGGTTGGTAGTAGAAGCTCGGAATAAGAAGATATCATCCGTAGCTTACCTACAGGCTCTCGGTCCATGAGAACCACGGTGTGTAGAAAGCCTTCTTTGACTCCGGCGCGTACTCCATATACGACACTCGTAGACAGCAGCGAAGACGCATGACCCACGGAGTTACGTACGAGCGAATGCTATTGACATCGCGAACCAGCGCGCCCCTGGCGGATCTACCGCAGGTGCTCCTGTAGTCAGTATATAAACCGGCGTCTGCACTACCCAGGACTCTTCTTCCCCCCTCGAAACCCGCACGAATGCAATGCCCACCAGACGTCGCAACACCGACGTCGATGTGATCTCGCTGGGCAGCGGCAGCGACGACGACAACGCTGGGCCTGTGGCCGGCCCATCCAGGAGCGCCGGAAACCGACGGGTCACCAGCACTCCTGTAAGACGCAGAGAGACACGATCAGCAGAGCTGGACGTCCCGCACGCGCTCGACGACGCGTCTCGGACCCAACTGCACGTCGCAATCGCGACTGCCCCGGAAGAGCGCGTCCGAGAAGCGTTCGCCGCGCTCGTGGACGCACTCCCGACTGTGACCGAGCGTGTCTTCCAGACGCTTGTCGCCGCCGACGCCCAAGGAGAGCTGCAGGAGAGTGGACCGAGACGCCGCCGCTATAGTGCGGGAGGCGGAGCATCTATGTCGAGCCCTCGTCGCGAGCGCGAGATGGTCGCAACGGGTCCGCGCCTCGTCGCATGTGCGAATTGTGGCAAAGAATACAATGCAAGCACATCCCGACAGCCTAGCGAGTGCAAATATCACAGAGGTCAGCCTTCTGCCATAGATCTTCCCCCGTTTGCACATTGCGCGAGCTGACAAGGAGCGTTGCACGTCGGATTAGGTCGTCTCGAGGTCGACTACGCTGCCTTTGTCGACTGGGACGAGGAGGTACATGGGGAAATGGACACCCCTCAAAATCGAAGAGAGTTCCCTCAGAATTTCAGATGGACGTGTTGTCGGCGCGACGGAACTCGTGCGGGATGCGTGGGTGGAGAGCACGAGCCTAGCGAGGGGCAAAGCGGGCGAAAACGGGCGAGACGTCACTGATCTTCGGGCTACGTTGGGTAGGTATCCATTTCTTGATGTACTGCAGCACCCTCCCGGGACACGCGAGCACCGCTATAAATGCGTGGATCACAAGGAAAGATGCATCGGCTATGATACATATCCCTACAAAGCATAGCCCTTCAGTGCTCGAGCATAACCTAGTACATACACACCATAAAGCAGTAAGCGTCCCTCGGTGCGTCACAGCTCCTCCTCGATCACCGACTCGCCCTCCGCATCCAAGTCCTCCTCGCCTTCGGCGTCCGCATCTAAGTCTTCCTCAGCGATGC